AGAACTTCTAAATGAATAAAAATAACAAACAAAAATTAAATAAAAAAGGAATCTCACTCCCTGTTAGAAAATGTTGCACCAAAAACAATAAAAAAAGACCAAAACAATAAATACAATGGCCTATCCATTGTCAACAGCCAAAACTGCACTTCAATTATGATAATAAATAAAAATAATAATAGAGTTGTACATTTTTTAACTTTGATATATATATATATATATATTGAGGATGGAAAAATTATTGAGATGGGCACGTGACGTGTCAAGGGATCTTTACATAACAACCCCCACCCCAAATCCGCACAAGCCTTCTGTGTCCCCCCCACTTCTGAAATCAAAATTTCGTCCCTGCTACGGTGATGATGCAGCGTCTTAAACGCAAGCATGTCAGAATCATCAGTGAGGAAGGAGAGAGCTCGGTGTCCGGGTAAGTTAAAAACTTTTCAAAAGTGATTCAACCAAGCCCCGGATTATTACACAGGCTAGACATGCCCTAAGCTCGTTAAAAAAAAAGTCTATAAAATTGTAAGTGCGATGCTATTAGATGGGGGGGTGGGGGGGACTCGCGCTGCTGCGAACCGGTTCCGCCGTCACATTCCCGCAGAAACTGGTTGATCACACCGGGGCCAGACTACTAACATGTGGCTTTACAACCACAATGTCCTCAGAAGCGAAAACGCTTTTAAAAGGGAGGGAGGAGTCCTAACTGTTGCTGCAGGCGTGTTGTGTGAGAGTGCAGTTATATACTGGTTAATATATTTTTGGGTTCAGTTGCTTTCATGTGGCCTAATGTGAGTCTATTTGGGATCATTGGAATGATCAGCAGCATTTCTTGATGTGACTTTATGGCAGTTGCCCAGGGCATCATCACAAGCAGGATGGCATTCATTTACTTTTGTTTTATTTGGTATTTTTTCAGTCATTTTCGGAAATAGTGATTAATTTTGATTAATTCACAGCCTATGTTTAATTACATTTAAAACTTAGTTGTTTGACATCCCCAATTATAATAAATGTCTACAGATGAGATCAAACAAAACAGATGAGAATTGCCCTTAAAGAGCAAGTCACCCCCAAATAAACTTTTTTTGCTGATAGACTAAATAAACGAGTGTCTAATCGTGCTGCAGACACGTGTCGTCAATAATATGGCGCTTCAGTGCATCTTAGTTAAAATTTAAATATTCTGCCTAAAACTGGCAGTGTTGTGCCGTTGTCAGGTAAAAACTCTGCACTGTATTTTAATTTAAATCTGCCACCGCTATTGGCTAAGAAGTATGCTATGATGTAAACTGGTACATTATGATGTCACAATGCTGTCATGAGCCTGAGTGTGTGTGTATTTGTTAGCGGCTCCGCCCTCTCGGTCTGCCAGGCAACAGCATGTGTTGCATTTTTCAAACATGAAGCAGGAGTGGAGTTAGACTCTGGTAGGGGTTGACTTGCTCTTTAAGCTGTTTAACCTGGACCAAGCATTTTAGGTCACAGATAGGTGTAGCTTAGGGTCTCTGTCTATACACCTTATAAGACAATTTAGGTGATGGCATGTTGTTTTTCTGCTATTGAACTGTTTTCTAATAATGCTGTGTTAAATAAAGTGAAGGAAGGAGAAAAATAACGTTTCCTTAGCAGTTTTTAAAAATGTCCCTATGTAATCCGATTAATCGATTAATTGTGTCGAGACCCCATCCGATTAATCGATTATCCAAATAATCGTTTGTCGCAGCCCTACTGGCGGGCCATGCTTGGTCCACTGCCAGGCCAAGACGGATCATCCACCAGCACTCTCCTCCCTCGGTTGGCTGTTAACCACGACCTTCAACATATTTCATCAGCTGGGAACCAATGAAATTCGATGTCACTGTCAAAGCACTGCATGTGTTAGCCATGCTGATAGTTTCCATTTTGCCACTTTGTAGCACAATTTATTCACAACTGAGATGTAAACACAATGAGGAGGTGCCATCTTTGTTACCTGCAGACAGAAGTGAGCGTGGGCGAATGACTTCATGCAACAAAAAGAAATTTTATTTGAAAATAATTTTCACAACACAGTAACACTTGATTTTCACAAACAGCCTTGCTTTTGTTTTTTAATAAGATGAGAAAGTCGTTTAAAGATCTTGCAAAAGCAGCCACTGCTCTGCAGCGCTGCAGCAGCTCTTTATGATACTTGTGAAAGTTAGCTTGATTTTGAATTATGTGGCAAAAGATTTTTAATTAACACTCTCTTTATAATTACACTTTAGTTTAATAAATATGGTTACTGTAAATAAAAAACGTTGAATCTGGGGAAAAACATCAGAATGATTTTATAGGGCCCTAGTGTTACTGCCTGAGGAATAATCAACACATGAATGTCAAAGATCTTTGCATTTCTTATATTATCCATATCAGAATATGTCCTCTAAAACGTTGTCCCACAACACCAGCAGCAACGTGAAGCACTGAGACAAGGTAGGATGGATCCATGCCTTACAATAAAATTTGAGCCAACCATCAGAATGTTGCAACAGAAACAGACGGAGAACAGGAAACATTTTCCATCATGGAGGAGCGAGCCTGTGTAAAATGTAGCCCCTGTCTCCTGCTCATAGCATTAGCTGCCATGTGATTGGATGAACAGCTATTTGAAATAGAGATTTCTAATGCCCGTGCGACTATAAACACTCTACAGATTCAAGTCCTCCATGGTGAAAGTTAAAGTCCTTTCAGAGGGCCACAGGTAACAGACACCTGGGTTAGGGTTGGGAAAACTCCATCAAATCTCTTTCGAGGATTTTCGTATGGATTCTCACAAAATGACTAAAGTAAAATGAATGGAAATGTTCAGGGCTGAAACAATTCCTCGAGTCCCTCAAATAATTTGAGTACAAAAAAATCCTCGAGTCAAATTCTCTGCCTCGAGGCTTCGTTTAATTCATGTTTAGTTAATTCATGGCTTTGCAATTGCCCAGAGTCATGTTTCACCCGGACCGAAATAAGTGACGCACATACACACTGCACTGAATGCACACGCGAGTAGTAAATGTAACTTTCTCTTAAGCCATGGCGCACAACATGGACCCCGGTGGAGTGCGAAAGAGCCAGAAAATGTCAAAGGTGTGGGACCATTTCTCACGTCGTAAGGCAGAAAATGTAGTCCAGTGTGTTTTTCATTTGTAGCACTCAGTTTCAGCTCACACTGTGCATCTGGTAGCAACACGTGGGACCTAAAAATGTGCTAAAAGTAACAGTTTTTACACAACACGTCAGACTTTACTGTGTTGTTATTGATGTTTGTTGTCCCTCGGGATCGCTGCAGGAGGACAGGTATTTATGAGAGGAAAATGAAAGAAAGTAAATAAATGTTTTGTGATCAGTATAATGTGACATCACCACCGCAAACATGCCTTCTCGACAATCCTTGTTAGTGTGAGAGAAAAAAAAGTGCTGAAATTAAAACGAACGTGTGTTAATAGGCCATGGCGAGCCATGTTTGCGCATGCGCCGTGAGCGGTTCTGGTTCTGTTTGGGCCGCAGCTGCTCACAGCACCACTTCAACAGTTATCCTCCTAGTTTTTAGATTCTCGCACGAGGGGAAATCGGCTCAGGTTGTATACTTATTTTTTTGCACATGCATGTGTTTACTGTGAAGTAAAGTTGAAGTGCTGAAGTTCTGAAAAATAATTTTGAATAAAACTTGAATAACTGGCAATTGCTTGCTCATTTTAAGAGGTCTTTCATATTTTATAACATGATACTTGATATAATGGTTTACAAACACAAAAGGGTCGTTTATTGGAGTACTCGATAACAAAAATATTCGATAGCTGCAGCCCTAGTTTCAGTATAAATCCTGTATAACCAGGATGTTAGCTCATCTTTTCCAACAAAACTTATCTGCTTCTCCAACATGAGGTCAATCAAACAGCTATCTAATGACCTGATCATAACATTATCACAGAACCCCTCTGATTATTGTTTCAGCTAACAGACTAGTCTATTTTTCTATTACCTCCTTACTTCAATAGCCAGACTCCATCTGCCGGCACACTGCTGCCAACAACTTAACATTCTCCCTCTACTGATAATAACATTTTACTTTCTATACAGGAAATGTGCTACTACTAGTTTACCTATTGCATTAATTATAGATTCACTCAGATGGAGACAATAAAGTTTATCTCTTAAATAAAATATTTACTAAGAAATCATAAAGAAACGCTACTTGGTATTGATGGCGTGTGTGTGTGTGTGTGTGTGTGTGTGTGTGTGTGTGTGTGTGTGTGTGTGTGTGTGTGTGTGTGTGTGTGTGCTCTGTCTTCTCCATCCCCAGTGAGTCATGGAGGATGGCTGCTTATACCGAGCCAGGATCCTCTGGAGGTTTCTTCCTGTTAAAAGGGAGTTTTCCTCTCCACTGTCGTTGCATGCTTGCTTAGAGGATTGCTGTAAATTGATGCAACCTACTGGGTTCCTTATACAGGAAACATTTTTTCTGCCAACAAATGCTGTAACGCGCTGGCAGCTAAATCATGTAAAAAGCATGTTGATGTGATATTGGTAGGCGAGCTTCCTGACTGGTCAAACTTAGCTGCAGCCCGCTAAAAACACCCGACAGCGTTAGCACCAGGGCCCGTGTGGGTTTGGGTATGACAGAAGAACAGGCTCGCACGTCGGATGAACCCGCATCGAACAGCTATGAAGACTGGACCGGCACAGACAGACACAACCGCGCCCGCGAGGGGCCTCTGCACCACCGTCTCTCTCTCGCTCCGAGTCTCTCACACACAGCTAGGGCCATCACTGAACAAGTATCAGACGAAGTTGGTAAACAAGTCAGAACTTCGCTGGTCGCATTTGGCTGCAGCTGTTCGAAGCTATTAAAAACGTAGCAAACATAGCTAACAACAACAACAGACAATAGACAGCTTTTTAAAGAAACAAACCACCTAATAAACAGCGTGTACTTGACATAAATACGGAAATGAGGCGGAAGAGGGGCCGAGGGTCAAACTAACCTGAAGGAGGGATCTGTCGCCTGCCAGCCTCTGAAATGAAGAACACGAACCAAAGTGCGGCTAAGCTCCGCAGTCCTGGTGTGTCCTAAAGCCCCGCTGACGTCTAACAACCAGCTAAGTGCTCACTAACTTTACCCAAATCAGTAAACGTCTAAACGCACCGAGTTAACCAACTGTTCAGCCCTTTAAGCTAGTACTACCGTGACGAGCACCCACTCGTCAACCCGCAGGTATGCGTCATGACGTCACACGTTTTAAAGGGAAGAGTACGTAAATAACAATGGTAAATTTCCTGACCTTGCAGATGTTCAAAGTCATTCCTCATAATGTGTTCCTGCTTTTCGTGGACTTTATGAATGTAACAGTCTAAATTTATTTATATTTATTTTGTCACACTGCGTTTACTGACTCACCCAAATGATTTTCTGCTAGGATCCTGATTAGACTGCAGAAATAACAGTGTTAATTAGGTGTTCCCACCCTGACTACCCGGTTCTGACTGTGAATATGTTTTGTACTGCTGATGCAGAGAGCCCTAAGAAACCTGCTTAATATCTGAGAATACATAACGGTCAGAAATACGCATTACTCACTTTGAGCAAGAGTTTGAACTCTGGAACAAAACTGAAGAGAACCTGTTGCTGAATCAAATCCTCACAGCAAGCTGAAGTCAGGGGTGGAAATCCTATTTCATTGTTGGGGGAGACAATAAACAGTAACATTTCAGAGAGTAATATTAAAAAATATGGATGGTAGCCGAACGCGGGGACCTTGACAGTCTGATCCTCGGCTATACTAGCTCTTGGTACATGGAATGTTATCTCTCTGGTGAGGAAGGTGGTGAAGTTAGTGTGTGAGGTTGAGAAGTTCCGGCTAGATATAGTTGGACTCACCTTGACGCATGGCTCTGACTCCAGAACCAGTTTCCTTGAGAAGGGTTGGACTTTCTACCACTCTGGTGTTGCTCCCACTGAGACATGCCAAGCAGGGGTGGGCAAATTTCTTGCCCCCCATCTTGGTGCCAGTGCATTGGGGTTTACCCCAGGTAATGAGAGAGTAGCCTCCCGCCGCCTTCGTATGGGGGATGGGTCCTGACTGTGGTTTGTGCTACAGGTCAGATTACCCATCTTTTATGGAGCCCCTGGAGGCGGGGGGTGGTGGGTGCTGAAGAGTGCTTTTCTGGTGACCCCGTTGTTCTCCTGGGGGACTTCAATGCTCATGTGAGTAATGACAGACATCATGTTCAGGCATATGTGCTCTTGGCACCAGGATACCTTAGATAAGACAGAGCTCATTGTTTTTCACCCCAACAGCAGGGCTGTGGATCGTTATGTTGATCTTGGCCCTCTTTCTCCATACTCAAAACCAGTTGTCACCAGTCTGGGGGTGAAAATTGACGCTGAACTTAAATTTGATGCTCACATCAACTCTGTGATCCAGTCCAGTTTCTTTCACCTGAAATGCCTTGCAAAAATCAAGCCTATGCTGTCAAGAGCCCACCTAGAGCAGGTGCTTTTGTAATTTCTAGGCTTGATTACTGCAGCTCTCTATATGCAGGGTTGTGTCAGTCATCACTGTGTCGCCTACAGGTTGTGCAGAACAGCACAGCCAGGTTCCTGACTGGGACCAGGAAACGGGACCACATCAGTCCGGTTCTGGCCTCCCTGAACTGGCTTCCAGTTTGTTATCGTTCACACTTTAAACTCCTCGTCTTTGTTTACAATTTCTTCCAGGGTGGTGGTCCCCCTTATCTAGCCACACTCCTGAACAGGCATTCCCCATCACGCGCTCTGCGCTCCTCTGACCAAGGTGTCGCTGTCCCTCGTTCTAGGTGTCGTACTCACGGGGACCGGGCTTTCTCAGTCCTAGCCCCGTCACTCTGGAACCAGTTGCCACCCTCAGTTAGGCTGTCCCCATCTCTGCCAGTCTTTAAGAGTCGCCTAAAAACCTGCCTCCTCCGCTTGGCGTTCCCTGAACATGTTTGAGTTTGGCCCTCTTTCATGTTTTATTTCCCTGTTTTCATTGGTCTCTCTATCCCTTGTTTTACCCATTTGTCCTTTACTAGAATGTTTTACCTTTTTTTGTAAGATTTTTTTTAGTTTAGTTTATTTTTTTTTTAAATTTAATTGCTTTTAATTTCGATTTATTCATCATATTTAACTTTTCTCATGTACCATGTTCAGCGCCTTGGGCTTCCCGACAGGGTCGCCCAAGGGGCTTTATAAATAAAGCTTTGATTGATTGATTGATTGATTGATTGATTGATTGATTGATTGATTAGGCCGCAGCTCGATGATTGACTTTGTTGTTGGTTCATCTGATTGGTGGCTGCATGTCTTGGACACTCGGATGAAGAGAAGGGCAGAGCTGCCAACACACCACAACCTTGAGGTGAGCTGGCTTGAATGGTAGGGGAGGATGCCGGCAGTGGCGGAGCTTGATATGTGCAACATGTGCGGCCGAACAGGGCGGCATTTAATTTCCTTTTTTCTTCTTTTTTTTTTTCTAAAAAAAATTTTTTTTAGCATCAACCAATACATAAACAAAACACAGAAATCGCATGTTCTTAATAATAATAGTGATGATAATAATAATATTTCTGTAATAAAGGCACAACAAAGGTTTTTTTTTTGAACATCAATCACATTACATTGTAACAACAACCAAAAACTCAACAAAAACAAAAAGAACAATTCAGTAGATAACCCAAAACCTTATAACTAGACCATTAGAAATATTCTAATCAGCAGAAACAACCGGAGTTATAAGATTAACAAGACACGATAAAGAAATAAAAATAAAATAAATACAATATTAATATTAATACTACTAATAATAACACAATAATAAAAATACATATTTAAAGACAGAGGACCTTAGTTCACAGGATCTTCACTAAATCTGACAAGTGTAGCAGCCTGTACAGACTTTACTTTTTTAAGAGATTTGCAAAATAGCATAAAATCGTTTTGGAAAAAAGGAAAGTTTGGCTTCACTTTCATGAAACGACATTTGTGAATAAAAAATTTCCCAAAAATTATCAAATTGTTAACAACGAATTGAATCTGATTATTTTTTTCTATACACCCAAATTGAATAGTATTATATGTGAATAAGGGGATATTGTAACTCTTTTTGAATAAAAGCCAATTGTATAAATCTAACCAAAATGTATTTACCGATCTGCAATCATAGAAAAGGTGTTTCTGAGTTTCAATTTCACTATTACATAGGACACATAAGTTATCTTGTATATTAAATCTGATATTTAAAAATTCTTTACATGGATATATATTATTAATTGTTTTAAAGTGAACTTCCTTCATTTTGGGGAGAAGAGGGTAAGAAAGAAACTCTGTTCTTATGACTTTAGTATCTATAATTGAGAAAATCGGAGAAAGAACTTTCCTTCTGACAGGAATAGGGAAAAACTTGTTTGACAAGACTGCTCTTAGGTAAGACTAAGAGTTATTACATCTACGGTCTGTAAAACTCAAATCACCTATAGATAATTTAGGAAGCTTAGGTGTATTTGTTCCATGTTGAATACTTTGACTGACCATCTGGCCAACAGCTGGAGAAATAGCCTTTATAACTCTAGAGTATTCCAATACAGAACAGTCTATATTATACTTAATTTTGAACTCAGTATGCTCCAGAAACTTACCCTTACCGTCCATCAGCTGCATTATGGCCCAAACTCCTTTATCCATCCAACTTTTATAATACATGGATTTCCGTTTATACAGAACAAATCTGTTATTCCATATAGAGGAGGAATGTGGGCTAAAGTTGTGCGAGTAGATCATTTTCCAGTACATCAACACTTGTTTAATATAGTTAGAAAGTTTGATGGGTAATTTAAGAGGATCAAAATCACATTTTAACAGAAAATCTATACCTCCAATCTTCTCAAACAGAAATGAAGGAATACAAAACCAGATAGAATCTTTCTTAATAAAATTTTTTTTAGCCATTGTAATTTAATAACTCCATTCATTACTTCAAAATCAATGACTTTCAGACCTCCTTCTTCTATAGGTTTTACTATCGTTTTTCCTAATCAAATGTTGTTTATTATTCCAAATAAAATCATATTGTGTTTTATTTATTCTTTTAACATATTGGTCAGGGATAGCTACTGAAAAAGCAGGATAGATTAATCTAGATATGCTCTCCATTTTTGTTAAAAGTATTCTACCAAATATTGATATATTTCTTTGGAGCCAACTATTTAGAGTCTTTTGATTTTTATTAATTATCGGTTGAATATTGTTATCCACTCTCTCCTTAAAGATTTTATTAATCTTCATACCCAAATACTTAATTTCATTCTTAATAGGGATATCGCAAATATGAAACTCCTCAGTATCATGAATTGTTAATATTTCACATTTGTTAGCGTTCAACCTTAAACCTGAGGCTTGTGAGAACAAAGACAGAGTTTTCATGGCATTAGGAATTTCCTTGGTACTATTTAACAATAATGCAGTATCATCTGCTAGTTGAATTATTTTAAGCGAGTGTCCTGCCACTGTTAACGGTTTAATTGATTCGTCATTTTGAATTAGTAAAGTCAGCATTTCTGTTGCTATAATAAAAAGAAGTGGACTAATAGAATCTCCTTGTCTAACTCCTCTATTAACTGGAAATCTGGTTGTCGTACCCGAAGAAAGAAGAACTGCACTCGATATTTCTTTGTATAGGAATGTATTAATATCAATGAATTTTTTACCAAATCCAAAGTGCTGAAGTGACTTTATAATAAAATGATGTTCGAGGCTATCAAAAGCTTTATAAAAATCTAAGAACAGTATAGCCCCATCCTCTTCTACCAAATTTTCATAATCTAATAAATCAAGAATCAGACAGATGTTGTCATGAATATGTCTATTTGGAAGAAAACCTGATTGAGTTTCACTAATGAAATCATTTATTCCATTTTTTAATCTGTTAGCCAGTGTATGAGTGAATAATTTATAGTCCACATTCAGCAATGTAATAGGTCTTAAGTTATCAATATTAGATTTATCTTTGTTGGGTTTAGGTATCAGTATTATTACTCCTTGTTTCATCGTAGTTAAGAGTGAGTTATTATGAATACATTCCTGTAAAACTTCAAATAGTAGCTCTCTAACATCTTTCCAAAAGTATTTATAAAAGTTTGTGGTTAGACCGTCCTGGCCAGGAGACTTACCCAGTGCTACCTTTTGAATCACCTTGTCAAGTTCAGAAATAT